ACTCTAAATTACTTAACTCATAAATTATACTTTGATATTTAAAATATACATTGATCATATAAACTAAAGATGGGAACTGTAATTAATATGTTGCAACTTTTAATGTTGTAACTTACGTTGCAATTAGTTTTAACCTATATATGTTGCAACTTATAATGTTGCAACATATGTTGCAATTAATTTTAGCTTATGTTGCAACATTTTGTAAATTTGAAATCAATTGCTGTATCATCTTTAATATAAACCTTTAGAAGCTCTCTATAAATCTTGTATTATAAATTTTAAAGCTAAATCCTTTGTTCATCTTGCATTAATACTAATTTTCAGTTATTAGTATCATAAGATAACAGTACATATTTTCTAAAAAAAAAACTATGAAACCCGATTACCTATGTTAAAGAATTTACAAATAGAAGTAAACTAAAATACAACTCTATTAAATTCCTAGCTAAATTGTTTGATTACCATAGAAATCTCTAGAAATTATTCTCATAATACAAATTTTCTCAAAAAATTAATTGTTAATTAAAATACATATCAACATCTTTTGCATTTTCAATAAAAACTTTATTTATTACATTTAAACAATCCCTAAATCTTAGAATTCTACACAAATGGTTCTCACCTTTTGATTCTAATAATTTGTCTACTAATTTTAGTTTAATATTAACTTTTATTAAAAATGATAATTTAGAATTTTCTTTTTCAACTGCTATTACTTCTATTTGATTCAATTCATCTCATGATGAAATTATGGAATTTTATTAATTATACTTTTATTTTCTTCTTGTTCTAATATTATAATTTATACAGATAGTTTCTTTTCAATTCAAATTTATAAAGAGATCAAAAAATATAACATTCTAAATAAAGATGGTTCCCATAATTATTTTTAAAATTTTTAACTAGTTGCAACTTAAGTTGCAACGCTTTGAGTTGCAACATTTTATAAATTTTTATATTAAAATAAATTTACAAGGAGTTGCAAATAAGTTGCAACTTCTTAATTATGGTGCTTATCTTTAATTCTAAATTACTTTACTCTTCTTTTTAAAATCCCTTTCTATATATATTAGTTTTACATTTTCTTTTTAATAGATATTAAACCCTTATAAGTAAATTTGTAAAGGTCAAAGTACATTTAGAAATTAAATGGAATGAATATGTCGACACTTTAACCAAAGATACTTTATTTGATATTCTACTGGAATTAAATCTTAATAATACCTTTCATGCCAAATATCTTCCTAAATTTTAAATCTTATAATTAATAAACCAGTTTGATCTTTTATAAAAACAATTACAATAACTCAAGAATTTATTGACTTTTTTTACTTAAAAAGAAACTTCAAATACAAATATTTTACATAAATTGGCTATGTAATTTACTAATTTGAAAGGATATTAAGACACAAATTCATCTACTTTTAATAACTCAAAATAATACAACTGAAGAATCAAATATTTAACCAAACAGCTTCCTACAGATAAATTCTTAAAATCTACATAAAAATATATTTATCATAATTCATAGAAATGTTATCGCTGTGCTCAAGTAAATAAAACTTTTGCCATATTTGGCTATATACTTTCAGCTTATCAATTATCACTTTTGCTATCATGTTTGTAAAAACTAAAATAAGAATCTTCGAAAAATAAGCACCCCACTGATTTTGACGATCACATGACTGCAAAAAAGGGAGCTTATTTTCACGATTTTACGGTATATATAATTTTATTAACATAAATATTAATAAATAATAATATATAATTTATATATTCTATATGACTTAATTATAGATAAATATTTTTTTTAAAAAAATATTATTTAAATTTATAATTAATTAGTTATCGTTATGTATTATTTATGACTTTAAGTCTAATATTCGATACGATTTTCATCAATCGATACCTTTCATTAACTTTTTATTACTCCTTTTTCTTTTTCTTTTTCTTTTTATTAAGTTAACATAAACTCTTTTTAGAATTCCCTCCTTTCTTATTGCAAAGTAACCATAAATATAAATTTGAAATTACTGGTAAAATTATTTTTTAAATACTTATATTAATGATATTATAATCAATTCTATATACGGTAGTTACACTTTTTACTTGTAAATTTATTCATCAAAAAATATTTTTAAAGATTATTTTTATTTTTTTTACAATATGATAAAACAATAAATGAATATTTTTATTTTTATTTAACGTTTATATTCTAAAAAATTTTAAATGAAAAAAATATTAATATATATAAAAGAATTCGTGCTAGTGACTTTACTAATATATCTTTTTTTAGAAAAGACAACGAGACGGAAAAAAGAAGATTTTTTAAATTAAAATAATTATAAACATAAATATTTAATTAATTTATTTTTAAAATTAATTTTTATTGTGAGACATCAATTTAATTAATAATATAGGGTTAAAAAAACTTTTTTCCATAAATTTTGAAAAAAAAAAAAATTCCTGTTAAACCTTATATCAACTTTGTCAAAAATATATAACGATTATCCGATCTGCGAGCAAAGTTTCAACTTAAACTGACTAGCTTAAATCTATTGATCGTAATACAAGATTTCAAACCAATTTATCAAACGAAATCTTTTTATCTAAATAATAAAGTTTAAATTGTATCCGGATACCCGAATTTCAGTTTTTTTTTTTTTTAAAAAAAAAAAAAAAAAAAAAAAAAAATAGCCCACTGATTCTAGAACTCAAGACAAAAATAAACAAATACCTTTAGGAATATATAACGTAAAGATCGATTGTTAAGTTTGATAGAAAATCCTCATTGGGTGGAAAAATTTTTTTTTACATTATACACATGCATGAATTTGAATTATATGCGAGTTAAATGCGGGTATAATCAGATGATTGAGATTGAATCAATGAATGCACGGCATAAAAGTACAATAATGTTTAATGCAAAATTTGTGTGGTTGTCTTATTTTGCTCATTTAATCTATAATGGTTAAATTGATAAGGCAATAATTAATAAGTATTAAAGCAAATGGTTACATAAATAATATAAAAGTACTTGTTTTAACTAAAAGCAAAGTTTACCGAAAAAATTTTTTTTTTCCAAGATGATAAGTAGTTTGATGAATTTGTTTTAGAAACACATGGTTAAATCCGTATGAAATTAAAAAAGCTCACATGGATAGGTTTACCGCAAAGTACTTGACTAAACCAAATTAGATTCAGTTTTTCCAAGAAAAGTACAAAGCGCATCATAATATTGTGCAGAATTGAAGGTGTGAAATGATAAAAAAAGACGCGTAATATTACAATTTATGCAGTAAACATTAAAAAGGGAACAAATAATAATAATAAAATGAAACCGAAAAAGGTGGCTTAGAATTTAAATTTAAATGTATACTGATATGGTAAATGATAAGAAGTGTAAAATCAAGGAAAATCGGATTTAGAATTAAGGTATAATGGAATTTTACCGAAATCATAACATGTTTACCGGACATTGTTCAAAAATGGGTAGATATTATAATAATTACAATGCTTGTGTCTTCAAGCGAGTTCAAAATTTTTTGATATTATTTGAATTAATTTGAACAATAGTCGAAAAGGAAAAAAAATACATTTGGAATTTGGTGAGATGATTGTTTGTAACAATTATGATTGAAGGTTCATTCCCTCATCTTTTTAATGCCCATGCGGTGTAATTGAGAAAAGGATAAATATGGATGACCAAAATTGGTTGAACGGAAATAAACGGCCTTGAATTAGAGAAACCGATAAGGTGAAGATGTCCGTTGCGTACGTAAGCATCATATAATCTATGTACCATGCTTTTAGTGGCAAATTATCCCCATTTAGTAAAGCGGTTCAGTGAACTAGACCAAAAAAGTATACCAAATATTTACGTCAATAAATGCACGAATACACAACACGCCTTTTAAAATTTAACAAAATTATGGTGAAATAAAAAAAAAGAGGACTTTTTTACGCGTTATGTACGACACCGCAGCAAGAACACAAAAATGTTCTTTGCGCATATACAATTTTTCCGCCACCAGATAGAGTGAGATAACAAATAATAACAATCAGCACACAACATGAAACTTAAGTACCTTTGTCAAAGTGTGTCACTGCTTTTTTCCACTTACACTCTTTTCTTTCTATAATTTTAGTGTTACTACCGACAAAATAAAAGGCATCCCGGGGTCACTTCTATTCTAGTCTGTATTCTAAAAATCAACTGATTTGTCAGTTTTGTCCAGAGACTATATAAATTTACACATCATAATAGAGTAAATCAAACAGTATATCAATATTTTAAACTTAATTAAACTTTAACTACAAAAGGACTTTTTTTATATTGTAATAAATACACTGGTATATATATTCTTCTTTCCTTTTCTGGAGCTGATTGATTGTCATGTATAAATACCCCAAGTTAATACTTTGACTTTCCTCTCTTGAATCCGAGATTGTAGGTTGTTATGTCAACGATTTGGACTTAAAAAATTATATAACATCCAAGGTAATATTATCTACCTAACTTTGGGCTGAAGAGCACATGGGAAAAAAGCTATCCTTCTTGTTTCAATTCTTCTGTCTGCAGATTTGATTTTAGTTTTGGATATCTCCCTTTTTTTTTTTTTTTTTTGTTTAAACTTGATAATATAAACAACCCGCTTCGCACCGGTTGTTTTCCTTGCACGACAAATTGCCAAAAAATTTGTTCTTTGTTGATTCTTTGTGACTTTAATTTGTTTAATAAGCAAATAATAATAATAATAATAATAATAATAAATTTTTTTTCTTTTTCCTTTATTTATTTTTTTTTTCACTTTTATTTTCCTTTTTATTTTTTTTTTGTTTACTGTTTGACGATTATTAATATTATTATTTTGGGCTCACACTTTTCATCTTTTATTTATCATTTTTTCTTTCTATAATTTTTTTTTTTTGTTTGTTTGTTTGTCTAACCTTTACTTACTTTAGTAATAAATTTTCATTTATTTTCTCTCCTCATTATGACATCTCCTACAACTCACTTCAACTTGTCAACTTTCGATTCTCCTTATAATCTTTCCGTTTTTCAAAATCAACTTACTCAGCAACAAAAATTCCAACAACAACAATATAATCAAGTCGTAGAAGCAATAACATCGAATACCTTCGCTAATATAACTCCCCCCTTTCTTGCTTCAACGTCTCAACAACAGCGTCAACAACACGCCGCAGTATCCGCCGCAGCGGCTCAATTTGCTTACGTTCAACAGCAGCAACAAATTCAACAACCTTCGTACATTTATAATACGACTGCTTATCCATCACCTCCTTTGGACTGTAACCCCTCTCCTAGTATGGACTCTAACGATACCGGTGACCATCATCATAACAACAACGATAACAATAATTACCACGGAATGATTCCTGATAATTCTCATCTCACCTCTTCATCTTCGTTCACCAACGACTTGCGTGATCATAAACCTCATATTAATACCACGGATGGTTATCCCGCAACTTCATCGTACGTATTCTTTTACCAATCTTTCAAAGAAAATATCATCTCGTAAATCGATTTTCTTTTCTATTTTCTTTTCCTTTTTTTTTTTTTTTTTTAAAACCCATTTGAAGTTACACTTTCTAATTTTAAAATTTATTTATTAAATTAATTTCTCAAAAATAATTAAAAAAAAGTTTATCATTTTCACATAAACAAAATCTTTGTTTTCTTACTAGATACTCTTCTTCAGCTTATCCACCAAGTACTATGGATCGCCGGACAAGTTTAAACACCGGGCTCGTGCCTAGCATTCACCATCAACCTTTGTCTAATCATGGAAAGGTCGTACACCAATTATCACCTTCGGTTGATGGAGGTTCATCGGATGGTACCGCTGAATCATGGAGAACTTCTGTGGTCATGAGCGCCGCTCAAGACAATAATGGAACCCCTTTCCCATTTGGTTCGTACACAACGAAACCAAAAGGTTATGATGAGAGAACGTTGGATCCCACCTTTTTCACTGATCATTCAATGAAAATGCCTTCAAGTCATAATTCGGCTGCCCCGATGGGATATTTTGGACAGCCCCCAGTTAGTTACGATCGTAATGGTATGCCTCATTTTGCCACACCACAAGATTATCCAATCACAATGGCAGGTTTGGCAAATCCAAATGGAAATTCAAGAAATGCATCTCAATTTCAAAATCCACAAAGACCTCGACCTGTTACACCACAAGATATGATGACAACTTTTAGTTCAAAGACCGTTTCATCCACACCAAAAAGGTACAAGTGTAATGTCTGTCAAAAGAGGTTCACCAGACCAAGTTCGTTGCAAACACATACATACAGTCACACCGGGGAAAAACGTAAGTTTCCCGTTGTTTATTTATCTGTTTATATTTGTTGCCTATATTTAGGATCACGCGGTAATAATCATTTAATCCTTTCTTTTTTCCGATTATTTTTAGCATTCAAATGTCCGGTTGAGGGTTGCGGTCGTCATTTTTCTGTCGTAAGTAATCTTCGCCGTCATCAAAAAATTCACACCAAATAATTTATCTCCAAAATTCGAAATCAAAAAAATTCTTTGCATTTAATTTAGTTGTCATAGCAAAAAAAAAAAAAAAAAAAAAAAAAATAAGAAAAAAAAATTTTATGTTGCAAAAAGTTTCCATAAAAAGAAAAAAAAAAAAAAAAGAGTGAACATTGATGTTTTTAGTATTTAATTTTTTTTTTTCCTTCCACATCTGCAATTCGTATTCCAAATTATCTTTTTTAACGTAAACCAACCTCGTTATAAAAACTAAAAAAAAAAACCGCGAAACAAATTTTTTTTTCTATTTATTCCCAAAATTATTTTTTTATATAATTTTCTCCCACATTTTTAATTTTTTTTTTTTGTTATTTATTTATAATAATTTCTGCATTTATCCTATTTCTTTTGTATATGTTGTAATTCGTTGGATTAGAGAGAAAGATTTTTATATTTTATTAACTATTTTATTAATCGTTTAAACCGAAATTTTTCAATAAGAATATACAAGTTTTTTTTTTTTAAAAAAAACCAAAAACATTAATTTTCCGTTTTTCCTTAAAATAATAATTCGATATCTTTTTCAAACTTGTATTTTATTTAAAACGTCAAAACATATTAAATCATAAAAAAAAATAATCGCATTTCAACTTTGAACACGTATAAATTCTTTATGGTTTTTTCTCTTCCTTAATTATGCTTTTTTGGCACCCCTAAAATTTAAAATTTTCATTTATTATTATACGATGACAATGACTTCTTTTTATTTTATGATCAAAGCGGAAAAAAAATTAGACAATATTTTTTTTTTCGTTGGAAAACTATATATATAACATGCAAAAAAAAAATTTCCTTTTCTTAAAACAAAAAAAAAAAAAACAAAAAAACAAAAAAATTAATAAAAATTTTTAAACTATATATAATATGAGCTGTATATCTATGTGATATTTTGAAGTTCGGAAAATTTAATCTTGGATAAAAAAAAAAAAAAAAAAAAAGTAAAGAAAAATTCTTCAAAAATAAAAAAATTGAATTGCTTCTTTGGAGAAAATAGAAAAAGAAATAAGGCTACAACCGACTGCGTCATTTACTTTTTTATTCATTTTTTGTTTTTTAAAGAATTTTTTTTTTGTGAGACAAAATCAAGTCAAAGCGGTATGGATCATAGCAATAAAATGACACACTTCCTCAATCTTGACGTATAACAATAATAATGCATAACTTTCAAAGAGGGAAATGAGATGGTGTAAGACGATGTAAGGGAAAAAAAACTTAATCTGTTTGTCATTTGAGGATGAAAATGGGTTGATTATTATTTATCCTTTCATGAGTTTATGCATTTGCAAAATGAGAATTAAACGGAATTTTGATCTTATATGAAAAAAATCGGAGATTTTACCAATTGTGGGGTACATAAATCGTTAAAAATTTCTTTTTGATGCATGTGCATTTGATTTTTCAAGTATACGCGTATTCTTTTATTTTTGTTTGATTTTTGTTATGGTGTGCATGAATGAGTGTGATATTCAAAAAATGGACCGATTTGAAAAATATATATATTTTTTTTTAGATGAACATTATCTTTTGTTAAAAAATAGTAAAGAGTAACAATTTATTTTAAGTTATTCAACGGAATAATTATTTAAAGTTAAATGTTTGTTTATTTCGAAAGTCTCAATAAATTCCAGTTCATTGGATTATTATTAAAACATCAATGATATCGTAAGTTTCGTAAGACCATCTTCCTTCTAATACCATTTACGGAAATAATATTTGAAATAACCGAGGTGTTGTTGTATTTCTTTCTTCATAGAATCATCCGAAATTGGTCACGTACAGTACTCTGGGCACCTTGATTACGTGATTTATTACATAATTACATAATTTACCATAAACATCTTTTTAAACCGATCATTCATTATACTTTGAAAAATTGTTGTGCATAACAAAGCCCATAGCAAAAAAAAAAATTGACAAATTGACAACTAGATCACAAACTAGATTATTCGTGTAACTAAAAGTCATGAGCAAAAAAAAAAAAAAAATAACAATAATAATTATGTAACAATATTAAATTTTTTTTTTTTTATATTATACTGTCCTTTGTTTTATTTTATACTGTAGAAGAAAGAAAGAAAAAAATTTTTAATTTCTTAAATGAAACAATCTATTCAAAAGTACTGTTGTAAAAAGAAATATAATATTCGGGTCAAATGAGTGATCAACTTGTTGCATTTCTTGATTTCTTTGAAAATATATTTATATTATCAAGTTTTTTTTTTTTTTTGATTATATGAAAAAGGTTTAATACTGCTATATAAAAACTTTGTTTATTATAATAATAATACTAATTAAGTTTTAACTAATATTTTTAGAATAGTTTGCAAATTAATTGGTTAATTTTTATATCTTACATATAAGATTAAAAATAATAAAGATTAATAATATTATTAAAACAATTAGTATATTATAATAAATTATATAAATATATTACAAATATTAATATAAGTATCCCTTAGATCATAAGTATATATATGTAAGCAATTTGCCTACTTATTTACTATAAATTATCTTTTTAATTTACTTTTATAAATAATAAAAAAATTTTTTTTAAATTAATTTAAAAATATATAATATATTATAACAAAATTTTTTCTTTTAATTATATTTATATTTTATAAATTAAGGTTACTTAAAAAGCTAAGATTTTGTAATTTTAAAAAAAAAATTATATTAAAAAATTTTATGATTAATTTATAACAATCTTTAGAAATTTATTTTAACTATATTAATCATAATATAATATTATAAAATTACTCATAAATAATAACTTATTATAACAATTTTTATAATTTATTAAGAAATATTATAACTTTTAGTGAAACCTCTCTAAATGCATTTTAAAATTGCTATTGTAACTACTAAAATTAGTTTTAGTTAAATAAAACTAATTTCAGTAGTTTCAATTATTAACTAAATTAGTTTTAATAAGTTTAAATTATAGAATTTTAGTTTTAAATAACAATACTAATATATCATCCCCTTGAGATTATAATTAAAATTTAAAAAAAAAATGTGCATTTAAAAAGTGTATGTATTTAAAAGGAGAAATTTTGTATGATCTTTATATATATAAGACTATGTGAAGTATGCATTTATAAAAAAATATATATAATGCATATATTTAAGAAAGATGTATTTAGAAAAATCTTATTATATATTAATAATAAAATGATTTAATAAGTATATAAACATATAAATATATGAAATTTAAAGAATTTTTAATATTAAATTTTTGTAACTTAATTTTAAAATTAAATTATTTTAAAAAACTGAAATATTTACTAATAAAAAAATATATTAAACTAAATTTTATATAATAATAATATTAATATTTACCTTTTTTTTTAATTTTACAAGTAAATTTATCTGCTAGAAAATCTAAGAAATAATATTAGTTTTGTAATATTCTAATTATATATAAAAATTAAGATTTTAGAATTTTAATTTTAAATTTAAAAACTTAAATTAAAAATAATAAAAATCTATAATTTTAAATTTTTAAAATCTAATAAAAGATTTCTTATTTTATAAGTAATTTTAATTCATAAAAAAAAACTTAAAAAATTTAAATTAATATTTAAATATATAAATAAAATTTATTTTTATTTATCATTTATTTTACTATAAAGTATTTATATAAAAATAAATTAAAGTTTAAATAAACTAATAATTTTATTATATTATAAGCTTTATTTCTTAGATTTTAGTTTTTAAGAATTGTCTTTTATTATTTTTTAAAAAAAACAAATAAAATTACTCAAATTTTCATCATAAATTAAATGAAAATGTTATGGTAGTGATGGTAAAGCAGGAGGAGGAAAAACATCATCTAAAAAATAATTAAAAAAAAATAATAATAAAGATCAATTGATTAATAAATTCATATTATTTTTTTTTTGTAAAAATTGGCTATATAATTCATACTATTTTTTTTTCTTTTTAGGAGGCAGAAAGTTAGTTATTATTATTATCATCATTATTGTAATATTCTTTATTTTCTTTACGATTATTATAATTGTGACAATATTGTAAGTATTTTTTATACTTTCTTTTTAACTAACTTTCCATTCCAACTTGAATTGTTGGATTTCTTTTTTTGAACTATTGTTACAATATAATATTAATATTATTCTAACTGCTAAATAACAAAATACTTATGTATCTTTTCTATTACCTTTGATAGAAGAATGATGTTTTGGTTTTTGTAGCTGATCTTAAAATCAACTTTCAAAGACAACATACAAAATCGAACCTTTAACTTGAAAAAATAAAAAAATAAAAATAAATATTATAAAATAATATAATATTTATAATTTATTTATTCTTACCAAAATGTTTTGATACTTCATTTTGTCCATTTGAAAACTTTCTGAATCTTCTTAGCAGAAATATATTGTTGTATTGGTTTTTCAATAGGGGTTAGTGGTGATGTTGTTGGTGTTAGTGTTAGCATTGATATTGGCATTAGTATTGACATTGTTATTGGTATTAGTATTAGCGTTGATGTTAAATTTGCTTCTTGCAAAGCTTTAATCTCCTATAAATTTTTTTATGAATATTTATTATTTGAAACGTAGCAAAAAAAATTATTATCATAAAAATTACCGATAACATTTGTTGCATTATAGATAAAATTACTTCCATTTTAAAGGTAAAAAAAATTAAGTTTGTTGGTTTGTTGTAAAAAAAATTTGAGGAAAAAAAAATTAAAAAAATTATATATACACTAAACTACATTAAATTACCAGATTTTTTTATATATATTAAAATTATATATAAATTACAATTTTAGT